TATTTACATAATAATACGTGGATTTTGTATTTTATGTATGTAAGTATGTCATTTAAAATTTTATCTCATAATCATATTACCTTTTGCTTTAATTTTATGCTTTTCTAATTACTTTTCATAGAATGCGGCTATTATGCAACCCCATAAATAAGAAAAACAAAAATGCCAGCATAATTAGTTAAAAATTTCGAAAATTTTTTTTATTGATTTTTGTTAATTTAAGTATTCTAATACTACATTGTAAAATGATGATTCAATGTTATCATAAAATTATTAGGATTTTAAATTAAAAAAAAATAAAATTCAGGAATTTATGTTGTAATGCAAATCTATACATTGTAGCTCATTTCAAAATTTTCCGCGAAAGAGAGTTTACCTCCGAAATCCAATCTATACAATCTAGAAAAATCCAAGAAAATTTAATGCAGTCCAAGAAAAATTATATCAATTTTGTGATTGGAATTGTGTTAGAACAAAAACATTTATAGTCAAACCTCTATAACACGAACTCCCTTAAGATGAAATTATTTTTAAAACACAAACTAACAATCCTTCAAGCAAATTCCTAACACGAACTAATTTTGTTGTCGAATAGTGATTCGTGTTATGAAGGTAATTTATTATATTTTTATAAATTTACTTTAGGATATTATGAACATTTTTAAATTTGTGATGGCTTACTTTTCATGGAATGTGATATACATTAGTATAAGTATATACATTCTATATGAATATGAGTAAACAAGAATAGAATTCGTATTTGTATAGGTAGATGCAAATATTGTGAATATATTTTTTTAATTGATAAACAACTGATTCAATATTTATTTTATTATTATAACGTATTTTCGGATAGCATACATAATCATATTCATTTATAATCTATTAATGTTTACTTACCAAAAAAAATAAATAAATCTATTTACAGTAAAGTCTGGATAATTGCTCTCGAATAGGCAACAACAAAATTCTTTTTCACTATAATGTTTTGACGTTTCGAATTCTCCATCGTAAAAACAAATTCTGTAAATTCATATTTATTTGCCCTAATTTTTTCAATTTTAGTATTTACATATAAACACTATAAAAGAATATTATTTTAAGTACACGAAAAATGTAGGTTAAAAAAAAATTATCTGTCAACATTTTCATATAAAATTTCCTAGTTTCCAAATTGTAAAAAAATCAGTTTTAAATTGCCTTCAAAGAGTCTGAAACTTGATTATTTTTACATCATTGTTACAATGTAAAAGTTAACTGAATGCATACACTCAATTCAATTGGCAAACTCAATTCAATAATTTTTGATTATTCAAATGAATCAGAATATTGTCAAAATAATCTTTTTGAACATTTGCATATAATTTGACAACTTCTTGATATGATATTTGACAACTTGTCTTAAGACTTACCAAATTTGCAAACTTATGCAAAAAATAACGAACAAAATCAAAAGCAAATAGTTTATGGCTGAAAAATATAAAATTAGTCAATTGTATTTCCAACTTGTAGCACTAAAATTTTCGAAAACATTTAAGCAAACTTTACTGTAATAAAATAAGTAATAAGTTTTGACAATTTTTAATTTTTTAAGTGAAAAATAAAAATATTGCGTATACAAATAAAAAGCATACCAATTTTATTACAATTTGAACAATTTAAAAGACAAAAAATGAATAAAACTCACCAAAACAAAATAAAGAAAAAAATAATTTACAAAAAATTTTAATTATTTTATTATGCAAATAAACGTTTAATTGTAGCGGTATTTTTAATAATGAAAAATATTAAATAATAAATTTATTTTTCCTTTTTATAATTCTAATACGGTAATAAAATTATTTTAACATGACACTAGAGTTTTTTTCTGTTTTTATCATATCTACCTCCACTTCAGTGTTTGCGTACATGCAGTAAAAATATGAACGCAATTCAATCTATAAATTATTTTTATGTTTTTTATAAAATTTTAAGAACAAAAGAAAAAGAATTTTGGAGATAGGTGTTAATTTTTGCATAAAAATTCGAACATGAAATTTAATATTTTCAAAATTAACACAAAAGAAAGTTAAAAATAATGTTAATAGTGTTGATCTTACGTTTTTGTGAAAATGCTAGCATGTTAATGTTTAGCAACCTTTGGTTTAATTAAAATCTGATAAGCAACTTGATAATAGTTTCCTTCTTAAATTTCTATATTTAAAATTAACTAACATTTTTCGGCATTACTAAATAACATTGTTCAATGAGTAAATTATAAAAGAACATACATAAGTAATGTTAACTAATAACTAATTGCCTTGTTGAAGATCAAATTTTATTGAGTCATAATATTTAAAGCTATGACAACTTTTTGCTTTCCTTTTCACGCATATATGTACATACTCACTTACGTCTTTGAATTATATATTTTTTTTGTTTCTATTTTTAAATTTATGTTTCATTATTTTCTTGTTGTTCAACATTCTTTTCCGATTTTATTATAAAATTTTTATTTATCTTATTTATCTTTTATTTCTTTTGTTCATAAAATAATTAAAAAAGAAATGAAAATTAGATATGTATGTGCAAAGAATGAAAAAAAAAAATTGTATGTGATCAACATATAACCGACTTCCCAAACTAATCCATTCTTTCTAATTTCAAGTCAAATTCTCAAATTTTCAAATTTCAAGAGTTTTACTGAAAAAATTCAAATTTAAATTTACTTTAGAGTGTGATTCAATCGATATAGAAGTATACATAAGGTCACAGACCAGAGTGATTCATATACCTTACTAAACATTACGATGGACCTTCTTCTGTTGTGTGAAGCTTTGATCTATACCAAAAGAGAGTTTCTGAGTGGCTCTGTTTTTCTTAGCGTAGGAGCTGCGAAGAACTGATTCTCCCAAGGCACTTAATGACCCACCCTATGAGAGGTATGTCACCCTGTTCCTACAATTTATAACAGTGCATTTTTAATTTTGATTTGACAACAATACCTTCCTTATTGTATTCTATGCGATCGAAAAAAAAAATAATAATTTATAATCGTACATGTCTTAATATGTACATGTATGACAATTTATATTTGATACCTAGTAAAAAATACCGGTTACTGTTTAGTTAGTCAGAAAGTATTTGTTTTTTTTTTTTGTATTATTTTTGGTATTTCTTTTAATCAAGAATTGACACAATGAACACTGATAAATAGATGGGTGGCCTTGCCTTCAGAGTTTATAATTTTGAAGGCAATGGTAAGTTATTTTACTAAAATTGGACAATAAAATATATAGATATACGTATATACATGTATATAATGAGTATGTGTATACACGAGAATATGAAAGGTAAAAATAATAGATAATGACTTTATACTGAACGAGAATTAAATAAATATGACCGAACCACATTCACTGTATTTGTACAAAACCGATAACATGTTACATACTTAAAATGGTGTGTAAAATGTCCCATTTGCTCAATGGATAAAAGACTCTTAGAGTACAATTCTAATTTTTTTTTTTTAATGAATGAATTATTACAAGCAAAAATTTATTATAAAAATTCATTTTAAATTATATTTCATTAATTGAAAATGAAAATTTAAAATACAATCCAATGATGTGTAGAAATACGATAAAAGAAAAAACAGGAATTAAAACAAATTGACTTAAGTTTTTGAAATTTATTAGAGTAAGACAAGACTTGTTATACAATTTGTACATATACATATGTGTGTATGCATGGAAAAGTTCCAATTCATATATGTGCATATGTATGATTTAAAATCAAGACTTTATAATTTAAAGTCAATAAACGTATATAATATATAAAAGTGTAGATATAAAAGTGTAATATATAAAAGTGTATGTTAGATTTATAGACAAAATTATATAATAATAAATTTCGATTGTATATACATATGTTATACGTATGTATGTATGTTCTTAATTAAATTGAATAAAAAAATTACCCTTTTAACTCAAAAACTTTTATTTTGTGTATTCAATTTAATTATTAATTATAAATCTACATATATATATACGAAAAAATTTCGGTAATCAAAAATTTACTGGGAAAATTAGGTTTTTCGGTACTGAGACTGAATTATTTTAGATGCAACCTATTTTAAGTTTTATTAATGAAATTCTAAAGATTAATGAAATGTTATTAATGAATGAGTCTAAATTTAATTCTTAAATAACATAGATCAGAAACTAAGTTGCCAATATAGTCAATAAAACAATTCCGTAATGAAGTTAATAATTACCATGTCTAAAACCACTAAAAAGAAATGAATTTTTGTTGCAAATTTTACTCATTAAATTGTTTCAGTTTGTCACTAGTATAACAATACGAATATAAGTATTTCCTTTATAAGACAATGTATATGTGAATACTTTTAACTGCGTGAATTTCTAAAGTCTTGCTTTCCCTGAGCTTACATATATACTTTACGTCCTTTTCAGGCATATTAATGGTAAAATCATTTTAATTACTGCGCAAATCAAGGTTATGTTGCCTCCTTGTAACCTGCCAACATTTTAAATCGAATAATAGCCTCAATTGAACAACTGCATTGACTATCTCGGAGCAGGTTATTCGCCCTTAATTATTGTACATTGAAAAATTTGAAATTTTTTTCAATATTTTTATTTTAATCATGTTATTTTGTTTTATGACATTACAATTTAAATATTTTAAAAAACTTAGAGAATATAAAAATTATAGAAAAGAATTATTAATTGCTATATTAGCTGTAGTTAGGCTACAATAAATGGATTTATTTATTAAATTAAAGATCTTTAAATCGAAGAACGTAAGCGATTCTAATTTGCATACATATGAATGTATGTTTCTTTTAAATGGATTAATTTTAATTAAAATAATGAATTTTGACGTAAAATATTAAACTTATTTTTACTTACATAATTCACTTACATACATATGTACAGTATATTTACATGAACACAAACATATTTTAATATAATATAAATCTTTTTTTTATTTTTTAGGGCTTTGTTGCTGCCAGTATTAAACGTGAACTTGGTGATGAAGTTGAAGTTGAACTTGCTGAAACAGGCAAACGTATTAAATTACTTCGTGATGATATACAAAAAATGAATCCACCAAAATTCGACAAAGTCGAAGATATGGCGGAATTAACGTGCTTAAATGAAGCATCAGTTTTGCACAATATTAAAGACAGATATTATTCTGGTCTAATATATGTAAGTACATTTATTATTAATAATTATTTTATTTACTATAATTATTTACTAGAAATGCAATTGAAATTCAATATTTAATAAATATTATAAGGTTCCAAAATTGGTTAGAATACGATTTGGATAAATTATATTTTATTTCTTCTGGAATCCGTTCGATTTCATTAAAAGATTCATATTTTAAAATCCCTATAAATTTACTTAACTATAAGATAAGGTAAGCGAAATAATTTCGAGAAAACTAAACTCTGAAATTGTAGTACTTGCTAAGTACTACAAAAAATATAAATATTTTAATTTAAATAGATTTCTACTATTGTACTTCATTTTTTTTGGCAAAATGACCTTCTCTAGCCGTTTTATTGTGTCATTTTACTTCCCTGTATAACAAATTATGTTTAAAACTGTCTTATTTCTAAATGTGTATAAAACGTATAATAGTGATTCTTATTTTTAATTTACCTCTTTAGTTTATTTATTTAAACTTAACGCCTACTATTTAATATTAGTAAATTACAAATATAATTTGCTTTACTGGTTCTGTTAAAGAAAGAAGTTAGCTATAGTTAAATTTGAGAAAATCATGTTGAATATGTAAATTCTTTTATACCTTTATGCAATAGTTAATCGAAATGAAAATATAAAAAGTAAAAATCAACGAAGTGAAAAAGTAAGAAATAAAAAAAAAAAAAAAACATTCTTATCTGTTTCAATTGTAAACCATTGTACGTGGTTGCTGTTGTGGCGTAGCATGAAATGGTGGTTAACATTACAATAAACCTCTTTAATCTAATTTCTAATATTCAAAATGTTTTTGTTTATTTGTTTTTCCACCACTTTACATTTACTTATTACTATCACGTACGACCTTTGTTGCTTATTGAAATTTGAAAATAAGAGGTGTTTAAAGCAAAATAAGTTTTACAGAAAAAAAAAAACTTGCAAACTAACAATTTTATCTTTTGATTGTAATTATTTCAATATTTTAATTGTTTAAAATTTTGAAATTGATTTTAGTAGAAGTATAAACAAAATTTAAGCAACAAACTCTTTTAATAATTTTACTTTCTTTAATTTTTAAATTAATTATATTGCGTTTTCATATCAAAAATTATGTGATTCCTGGCTTATTCTATCACATCAAATACTCTGTTTGGAAGCGTTTACATATTAAGTAAAGTTTGACAATTTTATTTGATTGGATGGAAATTTGATAAAAATTTGATGTGTAAATGTCCAATTTAATTAAACAAAATTGAATAAGAAAAATAGAATCTTGTCCAATTCTTATCAAATTTTTTTGAGAGAAATAAAAATATAATCAGCTTTGATCAGTTTTTTTTTTTTGTGGACAACTGTTTATTGTGGTCAGCAAAGTTTCACAACTATTTTATAAATTATTTTTTATTGTTAGTAAAATTATTTTTTGAAATTTTATATTAAAAATATCTGTATGTATATTTCTAAACAAATTCAATGAAAACTAATATAACTTTAAATTTTTAATCTTTTTCTTAAATTCTTTATTATTGACTTATTTTTCCTTTGCAAATAAATCACTCACACTTTGACATTTTATGTACATAGACATACTTCGATATGAATAAAAAACAAAATTTAATTTGACAGCATATTTGATCTTAAAAAAATTGAAAAGTGTAAACAGAATTTCCTACCCAAAATCATGGTTGTCAAATTTAATCGTGAAATTTTGTTTGACGTGTAAATGCTAACTTAAGTTCTTTTAATATGATATTATTGCAGTTGATAATAAACGGATTCAAATTCTTTTCAACAATATAATTATTATTTATATTTTTAAACTTAATTATTGTTAATTGATATTAATAATTGACAGTAAATTTAGTAATTACTATTTTAATTAGTAAATTAGTAATTGAATTTGGTTTGGTAAAATTCATATAAAGGGAATTCATATTTCATATAAGGGAGAGGAAAAAATTCATATATAAAGGAATGTTTCAATTTGTCAACTCATACAGTCTTGTTCTAATAGTCTTTCCTTAAAATTGGCCTATAATTTATATGACTGGTGGAGGAGTCGTGCATCACCGAACACCTCAGCCCCCCCCACCCCACCAAAATTTGAATTTTTTTGTAATCATATAAATTTTTTGAATATCGGTATTAATTATTTTTCATAATGAACTTATAATGAAAAAATTAATTAACTTCTAATTAAATAATTTGTTTATTGTGATCATTAGAAACTATATCCTAATTACCATGCTTTGACTTAAAACGATAGATACTAAAATATACTAGTATATTTTTTATGTACCAAAAAATATTTAAATAAAAATCATATTTTTAATTTGTTTTATTTTTTATCATACAAAAATCAAAAAAAAATTACGCACAATTAGAACATATACAACTGCTTAATTAAAATTAATTTATGTGTAAAAAATATTAAAATAAAACAAATTAAATGAAAACAAACATTTTACTTAAAAATCTCTTTAAAAAAACATCATAAAATTTTAATTAATTCGTTATACTCAGATTATTATAGACTACGAGTATAAGTAGTATGTAGAATGAAATGTATTAGATTGCGTTTTCATCTCAATTTATTATTTTATATTTTAATTGAATAATAACCATAGCTAATAAAATCATAATTTAAATTTTAAAATGGCATAATAAAATATAAATATTATTTTTTCTTATATTTCCATACCATATATTTATATATATATATGTATGTATGTATATGTACATACATATGTATAACTTACAAGTTTAATATTATTTTTTATACATTTTGTTTACTTTTTATAAGTATTAAATTAAATTTATGCGGTCAATTAAAAGAATAAGTAAACAAACATTGTATAAAGTAAAAAAAAAAAAATCTTAATTTTTGTCATTAAAACTTTTTTTTTTAAAAGATCAGCGTCTCTGCTTTGTTATACTATTGTTTTCTACGTTTTTGTTCATAACATACACTCATAAACTCTTGTAATCTAAAAATTAATTTCATTTATTTTGTGTGTTTTATTTCAAAGGTACACCAACACACACATGTGAATTAAAAATCTTAAAATTAAATCTGTTTACAATACAAATTTGAATATTACCTTATTTTTTTCCTATTATCTTTTATTTTTTTGAAAACGTTAAGAAACTAAAGAAATTTAACAAAGTTAAAAAGATAAAGTTTTCGTTTCCAATAAGCATCTACATACTTATATATGTATATTTACAGCTTTTAAGTACAGAATACATACATAAATTATTTTAAACACATAAGTACTATAAATTTCGGTGTAATTATCACTAATACAGCAATATATGAATTCTGTATTCTATATTTGATCACATCACAATTCACATGCTTTTTTGCAAGATATATAATATAACGCTTATATGTACATATGTATATGATATATATATATATATATATATATAATATTAAAGGTTCATACAAAATATTTTTTTATTTAAAATTAAAACAAAATTTTAACTACTATATAGTATTATATTATATACATATGTACAAAATACTGAGCTATATGAGATCTAACAACAAAATTTTTTGGTATTTAATTCATAAATAGAAATGTCACATTAAATTAATATATGGGTAATATATGGGTAGAAAAATTAAAATTAAAGATTTTAACTGAAATTCAGAAGATCTTTCTTTGTATTATAATATTATTTGAGAATGTTTGTTTGATATTATGTCTTTGGCAATGTACATAGCAAGATTTATGTTGTGTTTCATTTTTGTTATTAAAATATTTTTACATGATCGCATTGTATACAATAATGGAAGTTACATTGATGTGATTTAACTGCGAAACATTGCATAGGGAAATCGAATAGCTAAGCTAAGAGTGAACCTCTACTAAGAATCAAATTTAAACGTCTCTAAGTCCATTAACTAATATCTATATCTCTAACAAAGAAAATAATAATTTTATTTTTAAGAATTTGGTTATTTTACAATTCGATGTTTATATTTTCATTTCTCTACAACAACATTAATAATTATTAGGATAAATATTTTTTCTAAAATGTACTAAAGCGAATTTTAATTTGATAATTATAATTATTTAATTTTTCTATAAAATTTTGAAAATAACAGAAAAAAATGTGGCATCTTATATTTATTATAAATACAATATTACGACAAAAGAGCGTATATGTACATACATACAAATCTATTTACTTTTAAACTAGAATATAAATGACTAATTTTTGTTTTTCATTCTAAATAGTGTTTCTATATTGAAATTAAAGATTATTTATTGGTTAACCTTACAAAAGAATAATGAATATTTTAATACTTTTGTTTTTGTATACATACCATACATACTTACATATTTATTATTATGTAGATTAGGTGACATACTTATAGCAGCGTGCGCTATTAATTTTTGATAAATATAGGTACACACATTACGCATACATAATAAATGTATATGTATAATTTATAAATTTAAATATATTTATGTGTATGTACGTGCATTTACATACATATCCATATATGTATATATTAAAATTCATATACGAGTATTTCTTTTTATTATGCAAATTAACCGCAAGATAAAAAAAAAAAAAACTATTCCGCTAAAATTGTATCTTTGTTGAAAATATTCAACTTTTTTGTACTCAATTTTTATTTTTTTTTTATATTTTCTTTCAAATGACATTTTGTTGTTACTATATCGAACACTTATATTTGAAAAAGAAATCAAAAGAAAAAAAAAAAAATTGTTACATTCGATGATATTCAACCGCGTTAATTTCCAATTCCCGCTTGATATATGAGCTTTTGTTTATGCTTTGAGAATATTACTACTAGATGGCTATGGCAATACCATGTATGTACATACTCGTATATATATATTTTTACATACCAATACATTGTGATGTTGTATATATATGTATATATATGGCTATATATGTACATTGTATATGTTTTTCGTATCGTTTTTTTTTAATTTTTTAATTTATTCGATACAAATGTA